AAAGATATTATTTCCGTCATCTGCTGGTTCACTCAGATGCAACTTCACAGACCTAAACCCTTCTCCCAGTGTCCTTTACAAAAAAACACACAGGTATGTTTCTAATTGAAATGTTATGAATTCTGTCTGCTGGTATGTAAAGCTTTAGTCATCTGAGGAAGAACTTTTAGGGTTTGTTTTTTTTTTTTTGCTGCCATTTTCACACCTGAACTAGGAAGAATAGGCACTCTGGTGAAGACCAGTAACTGTTTTCCTCACCATAGACTAACGGGCCTCAGAAGGTTAGGAAATGGCATTTTTAGCCTTCCTGAATTGATAGACTGCAGCAAAGATTGCTTCCCCAAGGTCACTGCTGATGGGTTTCCAGATTGACATTGTGTCGCTTCAGACCGGCAAATTACCCAAAAAAAAAAAAAAAAATTACCCTAAACAGAGAAACAAGAATAAACTTAATCTAATTTACAAACTCCTCTACATAAAAAAAAAACTCCTGTTTTTTATAGAAATGTTTACATTTACTGGCAGTCTGATGGATTGAATTTGTAGCGCATAGCTGTCGCTTTCCTTCAGAAATGTCTGTAACTTTGCTTTATTTGTGATTAAAAATCTGGTTTTCTGCCAAAAGCCTGAGTCCTTTCAGCCACTGAGTTTTTATTCCATTGAGAATTATAGTTGCTAATTAATTATTGGTTACAAAAATGTTAAAAATCTCAAAGTATGATCGGTTTGTACTGGAACAGAGGATTGAAAGAACGCCCAGCCTCAGGTAGAGCAGCTTGGCTGTGGCCAATATTGCATTTCTGCCTCTGTTTCCTCGCCGGTGAAGCTGAAGCAGAATATTAAAGTGCAGCTCAGGCGACGCGCTGTAGCCCCAGAGGTGACGGGTCACAGGTCGGCCATGACAAACAGCCTCATTGCAGCTCGATACAAACAAACAAACACACAGATCCTCACACCGCAGCAGAATCTGAATGTAGACTTCCAGCTGACATCCATCCATGATGATGCCCTTCTTTCCATCTTTTTGGTTTCCTTCCTAATGCATCTCTCCTTCCCTTCCTCTGTTTCTCATCTCTTTCTATCCTTACTTTCTATCTTTACTTCTTTAGATTCATCTTTCTTTAAATTAGTTCCTTTTTATTCTTTTTGTTTTTCTTCCATCTTTCCTTAGCACCCCTTCATTTCTCCTGTGCTTAGTTCCTTCCCTCCTTTCCTCCTTCCTTGTGGTTTTTCCCATAACATGCTTCTTTCCTTCCTTTTTTTTCTCCTCCCTCTTGTTGTTTCTTCTTATCTTCTCTAATTCCACCTTGTTGTTGTTCAGTGTTTATCAAAGCTTAGACCAACAGTATCCCTGGAATCGTCTTTCTCTGCAGAGAAACTGCTCCTCTTGTTTCATTTAAATTGATTAAGTTTAGGATTCTGCGTGTGAAACGGTTCTATGTGGTGTATTGCCCAGCTCCAAGTAAAACAGCAGCGCTCTGGCATATTAAACCGCCGCTCAGGCGAGGCGCTGTAACCTCAGAGGTGACGGGTCGCAGGTCTGTCCAGACAAACAGCCATGTTGCAGCTCAGATCCAAACAAACACACATTGGCGCCCAGGTTTGGAGGCTGCAGCTGAATTTGAATGCAGACCTCCAGCTGACATCCATCCATGATTAATGAGCGAGCCTGGGTTAAGTTTGGGCTCCTTAATGAATACACTTTGAGAAGTTGAGGAGCCTATAAATATTTGACATGTCGCTTGAATGTGTTTGCATAATTGATGCAGGAATCTAAATTGAATCATAATTGCATCATAGTGGACATTTTTGTCCCTCCTCCCCTCCTCGCTTTCATTATTCTTTTTCTGTCCTTTCTCATTGATGTTCCTCTCAAGTCCAAATATGGCCCCCTTCACTCCAACTTATGCAACGAGCACGCCCAGACGGGGGGGCGACAGACAATCAATGTGATCTCAGGGTGTGACTGACACGTAGTACTGATGAACTCACTGGGTAGCGTATCGCTTGCTCGCCTCGCCGCAATGATTGACAGCTGTACCTTCTCCCCGTCTCTCTTTTTCTCACACACAAGCACACAGAGACACACGACCTGAGAAATGCCGACCGCCTTCAGACATCACGCTGTTCTCCAGTGTCATGCTGTGCCGACATAGTCTGTGTTTGATGCTGATGTCAAACTGGCTCACAAATGATTTGCTGTGAGCCTGACTGTCTGTGTGAGCGTGTGTCAGAGACGGCAGCAGAGGAGCCGACATAATGAAATAAAATTAATTTGAAAAAACTGTAATGCTTGAAATTATTCAATTCAGATGCATTTGATGAGCATTAAATGAACAGCTTTGATTAACCCACACTTTTATCACTCTTCTCTCTGTCGTCCAAAACACATTTTTATAATTTCATGTAATCTGATTGTCCTGATATAGATTTCAAAAATCAGTCCAATAGTGGCGGCCTAGTGGTTAGGGCATAGAGTTTGAAAACCAGAGGTTCTGAGTTTGAGCCCCACTCCCTCAGACTGCCTCTCTGGGTCCCTGAGCAAGACCCTTAACCCCACACTGCTCTCCGGGCAGCGTACAATGGCAGCCCACTGCATCCCCAAGGGGATGGGTTAAATGCAGAGAGAGAATTTCATTGCTCTCTACTTGTGACAGTGGAATGACAATAAAAGCTGGGGGAGAAAAAGAAAATCAGTCAAAATGAATATCAAAATACTTTGGCCAGCCTTTAAAATCTGCGTTAAAAAAAGCATGTATGATTCATGCATATATTGTATCGGGACAATATGGGTATCATAATGGAAATGAAAAAGTTGTATTGGGACACCGCTATTGTGGAAATCATGATGGACAGAAGATGGAAGAGTGAAAGTGTGCAGAGGTGAACCCATCTAGGTACCCTGAAGCGGACCAGTTAGCTTCACCCTGAAGCGGACCAGTTAGCTTCACCCTGAAGCGGACCAGTTAGCTTCACTCAAACCATAAATGCTTTGTGATGTGATGCAAGAGGTAGAGATCAACCAATATAGGTTTTTTTCAAAACAGATGCAGATTATTTTGACATTAGACTAACTGATCCTTGATTTTGTTTTTTGCGGTCAGGGCAACATTTGTTAATATTAACATTTAACCCAAGTATTAATTCGATATATATAAATGTGTCTATACACACCACTCTGAAGTTGCTCCGCGCCAACTGCCTTTGTCAAAATTGTACAAATTTAACTTGAGAGGTCCCGGTCCACCACTGAATGGATCGTTTGATCTAGAGTGCTGCTCTATGGTGTTCTGAGCTCCCCTAACAGAAGGGGAGCGATTGTTGCGCAATAAAACAACTATGACCTTTATCTGATCAAACTTTTTTTTCTGATGTAGGATTTAATTGTATTTATTCATTTATAAGTAAATTCATGACTTCTCAGTCGGCTCGTCCAAAATATTCTGTTATCAGATTGCGAAACCCAGATGGAGATGGTTTTTATTGGGACGTTGCAATGATGCCAGGGATACTGAATCTGTAACGTCCAGCCTGAACCATAGTCTAAAACAACAGAAAGTATCTATTCTATTCAATTCAGTGTATTTATATTGCACCAATTCACAACATCTGATATATCAACTAGAACTAACCTTCTAAAAAATAAAGACCATACCTCCCTGATTAAAATAAACCGGAGAAAACTAGAACTGAAATTTCTTGGTCATAATGCAGTAGGCCTCTTAGTCAAAGGTGTTTAGATGAGCAGAGAATAAGTCAGTCTGCAGCAGCGACATCCTATTCGTCACCTTCACCCAGGCAACCAATCCATGTCCATCTTTCTTCTGGGTCCACCGATCACAAAGAGGTACCTTAACTCTCAGTTATGGATCATCAGAACAGTTGAAACATTACCAAAGGACAGCAGATGGAGGGCTCTCTGGTGTATTTGTTTAGCCTGATCTCAGGGCATGGCTCCTGAATGCATTGGGTAATATCAGGCAAAACTACCAGCTGACCGTATCGGTTGACCTCTAGTAAAAGTAATACATTAAAGTAGAAAAAGAAGTGAGTATATGTTTATCTCTGTGTTAATTTGTACCAGAGAAAAGGCTTAAGGGGGCCATGATTTGTGGTGAGAAGTTATTTTTTTAACACCTTCTAAGAAGAAGGATGAACTTTCCAACACCTCTTGAACTAAAAAAATCTTTGGTCTTAACTTTCCATGATGTAAAGCGTTCTTGAGGGAAGCAGATGTGCATGATTGATGGTATGCATTAGTTGGTTTTTACAGATCGGTTGGACAGGAAAAACTTTACAGCCATGATCAAACTGCTTTGAGAGAGAGAGAAAGATGGATGAACATTAATGACAAGACTGGATGAGCTCTTTTTTAAAACATCCTTTCCTGGGGCGACGGCTGCCAAAACCCAGTCATGTACAGAAATAACAAGGCAGCTGATAATCACTGAAGGCTGTGAAAACTGGTTGTGTTTAGGGACCCAGGTGGCATCAGAACCCAGGCTTTATTTTTGATTTACATGAACCTTCAGTGGGAAAACATGAAAGTGTTTTGCAGACAAGGAATTAGGTGCAATTAGGTTTCTCCTCAGCTATTGGGAGGGAGTTAGCTGGTCTTTGTCTGCAGATGGGACCTCGATAATAGTCAGCGGTGCTTTAAAGATAACGAGGTTAGTGTGTGTGCAGTTTATGCATAACATGGGCTTAAGTGTGAGTCAAAATGTGAGAGACTTCTAAGAGTTTGGAGAGCGATTTATTAGAAGGAGCCTGCAGCGGCAGGGCTGTGGATGGAACGAATGAACGTATTTCTCTCTGTCTGAGAGCACGTGTGTGCGTTTCAGATGAAAGGACATCTCAGCGGGGGCATCTCTGGCCTTCTCTTTGCTCTTCGTTTCAGTGGCTCTGATGACAAAATGTGTCGGTGTTTAAAAGGGGGGACCGCCGCGGAGCATGTGCTGACATGTTTAAATCAGAGACCGTCTCACACTGTCTGCACGGACATGCAAACCAACACGCACAACAAGGCGTCTCGAGGCCATCTGGAAGTGATGAGCGAGGCACAGCTGGTCTCCAGCGAACGTTCTCAGAGTCCGGGACCCCTCATCCTCAAGATCAGACAGTCAAGCGCCAATTACTGACGAGAGCTCTTGTTTGCGTGCGCGTGTTTTATGCAGGCGTACAAGCATGAAGAGTGATGCTTGGAGTCATTCTGCTGCCTGTGGAAACAAATCTCTCCCTAATATTCCTGAGAACATGTGAGGAATCAGTTGTCTGGGATGAAATTGACCTCAAGAGTTGGCAAGAGTTTGACTACTGTGTAGACACTAAACGTAACTGAAAAACTGCCTCCGTCTCTCTGCTGCAAAAATATCTGAGAGGACAAATTGAGAAGATTGCGAGGATAAAGCCGTCATCGTGAATTAGTTTCACGGCAGGAGGAGCTCTTGTTATCAGGGTGTTTGTAAAATATGCAGCAGCCTTTAGTGGCATGGTAGTGGGGAGAGGGGATGTCTGGGAGTGAAGCTGCAAGCGAAGAAACAGGCTTCTGATATGTGTGATGATTTGCAAAGATGAAAAAATAATATTTGCCCCCTGCCATAATTACTCCTTTTAACATTAGATCAAATATTTGCAAGATACGAACAAAAAGTTTTCAAATTAAAATTTTAATTCAGAGGAAAACACCATCTAACCCAGCATGGTGTTGTGTGAAAATATAATAACCTCTTAAATCATGAATTAACTGTAACGGACCACAGTTCTGGTTAACTTGCACTAGCTGGGTTTTATACTCAGGCCTTTGTCATCTGAGATGGTCTGGAGCCTCTTCAACATTATTTACTGTAATATTTCTTGACGAATGAGTCTTAAGGCAGACATACACTGTACAGGTTTTTGCCTTCTCAGGCTGATTCTCAAGTTGTTAGAATTTTTAAGAATCTGGCCGAGTACAGGGGGTAACGAGGGGCTATTAGCCTCTTGCTACCTTCTCCCGATCAGCAATACGTTAACTTTATTGATTTCACACTAGAGAATTTTTACCTCTGCATTTAACCCATCCCCTTGGGGAGGAGTGGGCTGCCACTGTCGGCGCCCGGGGAGCAGTATGGGGTTAATGGTCTTGCTCAGGTACCCAGAGTGCAGACTGTGGGGACGTAACTAGGTACCTGCAACCTTCTCAGAGCACAAGCGCACTGCTTTAACCGCTAGACCAACACTGCGCCGACAATCGTAAGGTTGGGAGAAAAACAAACATGTTTGATATTCAGTCAGCCTTCATAAGGTGTTCGTGGCAAAATTCTGCTGTTGAAGTAGAGTTAAGAGCGTCTACGAGCGAACTTACTAGAACCTTGAGTACTGCGCTATGTTGTAAATATGGGTAAGCAGAGACAGCAGGTGCTTACGGGCCTACGACCTCTTAGGGGCCCCATCACTGACACCTGATAGCCCCCTACGTAATAGTACTAGGATGTCTCTTTGCAGATGTAATGATCCGAAAAATTCCTCTTACACAAACCTGATACTGAGGAGACTCCCCGCCCGGACTGTATTCGATAAGCACTTGGAATGTCTGTAACATGTGGTGGTGCGCTGTCACTAATGGTTCCATTCAAGGTGCGAGGTCACAGTTTTTCCGTGTGTGGTGTGTGATCATATTCTGCTGAGAATTGCATAATTGTATCTTCTTGGCCGATTTATGGAACTGTTGCCGTATCCTGAACCTTTATCAGGTGCTGTACTTCATATGGGGCCCACCCACATAATGTTGCTTATGGGCCTATTGTTGTGTCATTACAGCATTGGTGCTGCACATGTGCAAAAAAGGGATTTCTCCCAGATTGACAAGTCCGTCCACCGCCATCTCTCGGCCAGCGTGTGGTTTTTGGATATGCAGCGTGAGCATTTGGATCGCATCAGAGCATCTGGCTGTACAGTCTCAAGAACATACATTCTGAGCTGTGAACTTTTGAACCTTGTGATTTCATCATACAGTTCAAGCTGCAGCTGAGTGCAACAATTTGAAATATCATACAATGTATGCCCGGTCTTAAGGAAAACATCTCAGTTTGATGTTGGGCTGAAACAGGCTTTGGTTTTCCAGTAGTTCCAAAGCTCACCTGGTCTAATCAGATTGGCTTGAATAAAAAGAGGGAAAGGAGGGAAATACCTTTCCACATCACTGTGGGATGTTGTCTGCCCTGTAGTCACGCTTTGCCATCCAGCTCATTTCAATTTTTGTACCCAAATCCAAAACAGATGAACAAAACCTGCAGAACATCTGAATCACTCACACCTGGTTGCTTTAAAACTCCTGCTGCAGCGCTCGCTCGGTTACAGGGGCTTTCCAGGAAAAACCTGACAAGTATGGCTCATGTATTGGCAGCAGATAGACCTAGTATACATGAGCAGTAGAGGGGGATGTTCACCACCTGCATATTGATGGCCTGCATCAAATCAGACACACATTTTCTGGATGTGTGCTGGTAGCTTAGGGTTTGTGAAAATGATTCAGGGGTTTTTATTTGACTATAGGTGCTCTGATTTGAGTTAAGTGAGAGTGATTAAAAACTGCAGGGAAAAACTGTTCTTGACGGGGCAGAAAGACCTTTCATGTTTAGGTCTTCTTCCAGTTTGATCCATTCTTTTGTCATACTGCTTTCTATTTAACGTCATCTGTCAGAATAACTCCTGCCTGTTATGCTTCATATTCAGATCCTTTTCTAAATGACCTGCAGCACGCCTGCCTTTGTAGACAAATTGCATTACAGCACGATTGGTGGTTTGAAGAAATTCTTATATTCTTGTCATATAGTAAATGTTCTGCATCACTTTGAAAGGGTTTTTTAGATATTCATGGGAACAGCACAGCAGATATAGTTTTTAGAGCAGCTTTCAGATTAGCGGTTTTGTTTATTTTTGCAGAGCATCTGAACAGTCCACCTTATCTTAGCTAAAGTCTGAATCCTGACCTGATGTCCTTAGAGTCGACCTTTTAACAGATATCTTCTATCTGGTGACAAGAACAGGTCATGCTCTTTCTGCTATATGCGGCATACATGATAAAAGATCTGCATGTAGGCTAAATATGCATTTCTGACTATTTTTTTTTTTAGAATAATGTGTAATAAAGCTTTATAAAAAACGTGTTGTGTACTTCTTTCTTCTTCAGAAGTATATAGTCCCAATAAATAAGAGATTTGTGGTTCTAGAATGGAAATATATTTAATAAAAGAAAAGTTTAATGGATATTCTTACTATCCCAAGACTTTGTAGCTGACTTAAATATAAATTGTGAATGTCTCTGCTGCATCAATCATTTCATGGACTTTTACGTAGCCCTCACTTGTCTGTACATGATTGCAGTGGCCTTTTATTTAGTTTTATCCATCACTGATGATTTAAGGGTCCTATTTCACGTCTGAGCCTGTATCTTTTAATTTATGACATCCATCTTAAGTCTATCCAAAAGTTTCTATATGTTGTTGGAGTGTTTTTATGGTGTTGCCAAAATAATTTAATTCAAGTACAGCCTACACTATACGGGCTACTCATCAATCAGTACATAAGTATTAGTTAGAGGATGACATATCCTCGCTTTGAATTGTTTCATCCTGTTGGAGCAGCGGCTTGAGCATTTTAGCAGACATGAAAAAAAAAATGCATTAAGACATTAGGCCACAGACTGACAGCTGGGTTTCCTTCATAGTATTTAGAAGCATGCAGTTTGGTTTTAGTTGTTAATAATTTTAGGTAAAAGAGGTAAGAATATCAAAAAGTATTTGCTTTAGAGCTCCTCTTTCTGCTCTGTTTCTTTAACTAATTAAAAGCATGGGTTTATAAAATAGCTAGTAGCTACTAGTTATGATGAAAGATGAATAGAAAGCCACAGGATTTTCCTCACAATCTGGAAATTACATAATATATTTTTATAGAATATAATAGAAAATCCCTTTATTGTCCCACAATTGGGAAATTCGGGTGTTTACAGCAGCAAAACGATTATAGAAAAAATGGTCACACAAATGTGGACCTCAACTGTATTTTGTTAATAGTTACATTCATTTTTAAACGGCCAAAATCAGTCGAAAGGTTTTGAAAATTAGGGATAAACACTAAATGTTGGCAAACGGAAGCTTGTTTGATTAGCCATCTTGATTGTGTCAACTATGCAAGCCTGAATAGAATGCTAAATAGAGTTGCATAAACTCACAGACACACTTATTTTCTGTAGTTACAAATTACACATCAAGTGGTCTTTATTTCAAAATAGGTTAGGTTCAGTAGTTAACCTGTTTAACAGGTAAAATCACCTTTATCTTGTTTGCGTGTCCTGAATGGCAAACCAGGATTGTTAGCATTTAGCAAATTTCAAGTAGTTAGCTTGTGCTAAGTCTGCTTCTTTTTTGTAATTGTATTTTATTTTCCAAAAACTTTTCAAAAATTTCCTTTTTTATTTTTATTTTTGACTACATGAGATTAAGCCTGTACATCTTTTTGACTCAGACTTTTTCAACTTGACATGCTAGAATGCCCTTTGGAGTTAGCATAAGATGGCTAATGAGCCCTTAAGAAGCTAATGAATTAGCTTCTGCCTTTAATAAATAAATATTGAATAAGTAAATTGAACTTTATTGATCTCACAATGGAGAAATTAACTTTTGCATTAAAATAAACTTAAATTTAACTTCTGCATTTAACCCATCCTCTTGTGAAGTGATGGGCTGCCACTGTGTGGCCCCCGCGGAGCAATCTATGGATTCAAAGCACTATGCCCTAACCAGTAGGCCGCCACTCCCCTATTTATAGCAGATTTTTCCAGCAGACAAGGAAAATTTAGCAGAATTGTCATGTAGACATCTGCATACGTTCCCACAGATGCAGACACACACGTCTATGAACAGCTGTGTGGTAAATAGGTAGACATGTAGTATTGGAACAGATATGAATAAAATGTAACACTACAGATGCTAATATAGTTCATATTTATCACTCTGCACATGTGTGCACACATTATCAGCCTTAAATGTTTATACATGGAAACGGCTGGATGGATCCCTGGAAAAACACACTCATTTCTCCCTTCACCAAACACATACTATCTCTGTTAGTCAGGACTGC